GCTAACCCAGGCCCCACCCTTGATGAAGTTTTTAACCAACTAAAGGACATTGCAAGCGACATTAAGGAAATAAAAGAAAAGCGGCTAGTAGACATTGATACCAAACTTGACGCTCTGTCAGTCCATGAGGTAGAGCTTGGGAACTGTAAAACGCAACTTAATTCAATGACTAGGGTAATACAAATATTAGAAAAAAGAATAGACGATCTTGAAAATAGAAGCAGAAGATCCAATCTAATCGTATACGGATTGCCGGAAGCACAATCTGAGACAAGTGAAACCCTCGAACAGGCAGTAAACAGGAACGTCATACAGGATAAACTCAAACTACAACCGATTGCGATCGAGCGCATCCACCGGCTAGGTAAACCAGCTCCCAATAAAACCAGACCAGTTATCTTTAAACTTGTGGATTCGCGTCAGAAGGAAGCTATACTAAAGAATGGAAAGCACCTTAAGGGAACTGATTACGCTATTGGCGAAGATTTCTGTCGCAAAACTCGCGAAATTAGAAAAAAGCTTTGGGACAGTGCGAAATCGAACCGAGCTAAAAAGGAAAAAGTGGCACTGGCCTTCGAGAGGCTGTACATAAATGACTGCGCGTTCGTTTGGGATGAGGAAAAAGATGAAAGGGTGCCACTGAACAAACCAAAAAACTACGAAATACCAACTCGGCCGAACACGCGGAGTACCACACAAAAGAAAAATTAACATTGCTAAACGTGAACGCCAGAAGCGTCGTGAATAAAGTGCAGCCTCTTGAGAACTTGTTGCTACTTCATGAACCAGATATTGTAGCAATCACAGAAACCTGGCTCTCATCAGATATACTCGACCACGAATTCACTCCCCCTAGCTATTCTGTCATCCGAAAAGACAGACTATCTCGAGGCGGAGGCGTCGCGTTGTTAATTCGACGTTCCATTTCATACACACTACTGCCAGACGTTCCGGACACAGAAGCGGTTTTCTGCAAAATTTTGTGCAATAGCACAAGCATAGTGGCGGGTTGCGTTTATCGTAGCCCATCCTCTGGTTCGAAATGCATAGTTTCCATCCACAATTTTCTTCAGCAGCATGTCCATAGCTCTGCAGTCGTGATAATGGGTGATTTTAACCTTGCTGACATAAACTGGAGTACCATGCACCACACCTCACAGGGATCAGAGGATTTATTTGATTTAATGTTAAATTTCAACCTCCATCAAATTGTTTCATGCCCAACTCGTGTTCAAGGAACAGCCTCAAGTGTACTATATTTAATACTTATTAGTAGTCACCTTAGCCATGTGGACACTCAAGTTGATGTTGTAGAGGGCATTTCAGACCACAGAGTGCCTGTTTGCCGGTTAATATTTGATCACAGATTACACCTGCAATCAACAGTAAACCATGTCCCAGACTTCAGTAAAGCAGACGACGCCAGCGTACTAACTTATTTAGCCCATGAGTTTTACGAGTTTGTGGAATTGAACTGTGATCCCGCCACAACTGTAAATGACCTTTGGCTAAGGTTCAAGCACATTGTTCTGCACTGCATGAACGAATTTATACCACTGCGGCGTACACGGCCGCAAAGACATAACCCCTGGATCACAAGAGAAATTCTACACGCAAAGCGGAAAGTCAAACGACTTCGGAAAGCAGTAAAAAAACAGTGCTGCAGTGCGAATACATCAAAATTAAAAACAGCTATTTCACACTTTAAGGCCAAAACAAAGCAAGCAAAACAACATTATTTTGAAGTAACGCTACCGTCATTCATTACTGGTAACCCACAAAGGTTCTGGAATCATTTCAGCCGTAGAAAAAACATCAGTCCTGAACTTTCGTTGCAACAGAAAACGGCGAAATCTAATATGTACAACAACTATTTCCACTCTCTTTTTACAAAAGATGACGGGGAAATTCCACAGCTTGCACACATGAATAATATTGGAATCAGCCCTATAGATGTAGTTGATGAAGGAATATTTTCTCTTTTGCTCGACCTAGACCCCAAAAAATCTTCGGGACCAGATGACATCCCCAATCCCTTTCTTAAGCGATATGCCGAATGGTGCAGCAAATACCTTGGTATGGTTTTCCGCAAATCTCTCGCCGTAGCAAAACTTCCAGACGACTGGAAAAAAGCTAAAATAGTACCAATTCCCAAAGCAGGAAATAGCGATAATCCTTCAAACTTTAGGCCAATATCTTTAACCAGCACGTCATGCAAAATATTAGAACATATAATTTTGAAACACTTAACCGTTCTTTTAGAAAGTAATGGCGTTTTGTCATCTTGCCAGCACGGGTTTCGCAGTGGATTATCGACTACCACGCAACTAACAGAAGTTGTTCACGATTTAGCATTATCTATTAACAACTGCACGCAAACGGATATTATACTATTAGACTTTGCAAAAGCGTTTGATTCCGTATGCCACAACAAATTAATTGCAAAACTTCGAAGTATTATTGGAGATGGAATATTAACAAGTTGGGTTAAGGACTTCTTAACTAATCGTTCACAATATGTCCTGTATGACCAAGTACCATCAGAAAACTTGCCTGTTACGTCCGGAGTACCACAAGGCTCCGTTTTGGGGCCTTTGTTATTTCTTGTTTTTATTAACGATATCACAGACAGTATCTCTTGCACCATTAGGCTTTTCGCCGACGACTGCATTATTTACAGAGAAATTAACAGTCATTCAGATCACCTTGCACTAAGCGATTCTTTACACCATCTTTCCAACTGGTGCGACATGTGGCAAATGTCGATTAACCCCAAAAAAACAGTGTGCATGACGATAATCCGAAAAAAAGAAGCTATCCAGTATGACTACAGGATTAAAGGCACCAGGCTAGAAAAAGTGAATGCGCACAAATATTTAGGCGTCACGATAACGTCAAGCCTCAGATGGGATACGCACATTTCAAACATTACTTCGGTTGCTCTGCGCAAGCTTTTTTATCTTCGCAGATGCCTTCGGTTGGCCCCTCACTCAACCAAGCTTTGAGCCTATCCTACTTACGTAAGACCGGTATTAGAATATGCTAACACAGTATGGTTTCCTTATACAGTCACTAACATTCAAAAGCTAGAAAACGTACAGAGGAAGGCAGCAAGATTCATCTGCAACAAATATAAGCGCACTGATTCTCCTACAAATATGTTAGCAAGCTCTGGCCTCCAAACACTTGCGATTCGAGCGAAACAAGCGCGCCTTAAATTTCTTTTTCAGCTACTTCACAACCATTATAAAATTGACCCATCATTGTACATCCGTCCGTCAGACTCCCGCGTTATTAGGCACAAACATTCATACACACTGAAAGAGTACTCTTACCGCAATGACACGTTCAAACACTCCTTTTTTCCACTTGCCATAAGGGAATGGAACTGTTTGGATTCCTCCATAACTAGTGCGAAATCGGTATCCGACTTTGCACTAAAATTAGACAATATGTTCTCTTAATGCGGCAATACTCGCATTACCAGAAGCATTGCGCCACCAGTGAAAGCGTATTAGTGGAGTGTACAAGTGTCAACTGGAGTGTTTGGAAGTTAGCTATTTGTTTGCCTGTGTACCACTGCACTTCATGCAAAATTTGTGTTCTTTTTGGTGATGGTTTCTTTGTCTTTGCAGATGTAAACAATTTGTATATTTTTCGCGCTTGTACTTTGTGATGACTGTCATTTCACTACATTTCTGTTAATGTACCACCTGCATGTACAATCTGTACGCCCACCTGCTATGGTCTCGGAATGAGACTGGCAGTATTGAAAATAAATAAATAAATAAATAAATAAATATCATCATATCGTCATCAAGGCGATGGCTGAGGGCACCAGCGAGGTAGCTGACAGCGTAGCAACGAATTACAGCCACCGCTGGCCGAAGCTAGGACCCAGGTCAGTGGACATAGGAAAAGCAGATCGGGGCTTTGCCGTGTGCAGGGTGGGTCATGTGGCGTTCTTTGCGATTTTAATTTGTGATGGGAAATCGTGTAGATGCGTAGACATGCCGAGGGCACGCGTCGTCAGGTTAAGACGCCGCATGAAGATGTGAAATGAAAATGCCTTTGTTTGTCACTGCAACTGTAAACAGAAACACCAACACCAATTTTCTAGCGGCTGTTTTAATTTTTGTTCCGAAATGGCTGAATTCGAAAAGCGGAAATAGCTTGGCACATATATTGACACTTCTACCTTCCAACTGAAAGAGTAATAAGAAATTACTCAATAGTTTTATTTTTATGAGTACGGATGTTAAAAAAACTTGGAGTATGTACGTGTGAACAGAACCGAAAAAAAGAAGGGGCTCTCTAATTATGAAATTTCCACACAAACTTTTATTTTCCCAGAGCAATCGTAGTAATTGTGAATGAACACAGCTAGCGCACTCCCCGCACGCGAATACTGAGCCGGCGCGAATACCACGTCAGCCGGGTGTTTCCGCCACTCGCCGCACCCTCGCCGTTTACCCCGATATCATTGGTAAATCCGAACACTCTTTCTATCATTGAATTTAATGTCGAACACACCCCTGCAGGGGTGAGTGGGCCAATCCCTGAGGTAGTGCAATACCAGGCCAACCCGTGTCGGAGGTGAAGCAAGCTTCAAGCACTCCGCCGCATCACAAAAATAAGTTTATTATCTTGGATCCACATATGATCCGTATCAGATATTAAGCTGATAAGAACAGAGTGTAATTTTATTATGTTTAAGACATTGCATGGAATGTCTTGAGTTAGCCGTACGACGTTGTTGTGATCCCGTACATGGCACCGGGATAGCCAGATGGAGGCCGGACACGGATGGTCGCACCAAGGACACCAGGACATTGGACATCGCAGGAACCGCCAGAACAGCAGCGGGTTAGCCACGACACCTGGCAGGCAGCAGGCGACGTGGCGACATAGGAGGGCAGGTGTTGGATCAGCGATTGTCTAGCTGCGACCGTGTCCCACGTGCGCGTGCTAGATGACACGGGACACTGCCACCACCTCGCTCACGCAGAGTTTTTCATTAGACACAGGTAGCTGCGGGAGCACAGGCACAGGAGGACGCAGTCGTTGGCCGGGTCCCAAGCGCCGAGAGCCCCGACGATGACGGCGGCCACCGTTACTCTCTGGTAGTGGCGACGCAGGTAGTCGGCGACGGGTTGGTAGCGACCGAGCTTGTCGTTTCGCGTGTTGGTAAAGGCCTCCAGTGTGTTCTCGAACGGGCAAGCCACGTCGATCAACAGGGCCTCTTCCCCGCGAACCAAGACAAGATCAGGACGCAATCCAGTGTCGCCGACTGGCCGGTTCTCGAACGCCACCGTGTAGTCACGGGCAGCGGCCGTGCGAAGGCGCGAGACCACCGCGTTGTGCCGCGCCTAGTGGCCTTGTCAAAATCTCGGTCGTTGTGCCGCGCGAGACCACCGCGTTGTGCCGCGCGAGACCACCGCGTTGTGCCGAGACATGGCGCTATGCGCCATGCAGTGGCATAGCACGTGCGGTAGCGTCTCCCTCGCGTAGCCGCAGACCCGGCAGCGCTGGTCTCGGTCAGGTGGGCCCCACATGACGGCGCCATTCAGGGGTAGCAGGCTGAGGCGCGCCCGGTGGATAAACCGCCAGTCGGCGAAGTGCGTCAATGTTCCTGTGGTGATGAAGTGGGAGCTCGCACGTTCCGCCGAGACGCAGCCCATCACCTTCCCCTGGTTTGGCTGGTCGTGGAGGGCGTTGTCCCGGACGTGGGCTAGCACTTCTCGTAGCGTCCGCATGACCCGGTTCCTTCGTGTTGAAGGAAACGTTGCGTCGCCGCAGGTGATGGTGACGTGGTCCGGCCCCAGGGACCACGAAACTTGTAGCCGTCGGGACGCCTTACGGGCCTCGGTCCACACGCTGAGCAGCTGGATCGCCGGCATTGAATGGACGACCGGTAGGTCGCCGAAGAGGTATGCCTCCAATACGTAACGGGTAGCCTCTCATCCCAGGCGGGTGTAGGCGAGCTCGCAAGCGTTGGACAGGGCGAGGTCCCGTAGTGACTGGTCTGGTGTCGTAAGGAGCTTAAAAGCGGAGTCAATACGGCAGATGTCGTATTACTCCGCTGCAACCGGGATTGCTATAGCTCCTCCGGAGGCACTCCCGTAGACGTAGTGGGTCGAGGCGTTCACCGGTAGGTACAATGTACGCTTGACCATGGGCCTGATGGCAAGGTGCAACCGGTGCCAGTCTCATTTGGTTAAGACGCTGCACCTTATAGAGAACTTCAGGGCAGAGAACACAAATGTCTCCAGGGCGTCAATACGCTGACAGCGGGCCAGTAGGGAGAACAAAATAGCCGTGGCGTTGCGAATGGCGTCGTCAATGACATTGGTCCCCGCTCGATGTGGAAGGTGGAAACCCACCGGGCGTCCGAGGTAGAGGAGTGGCTCGGAGTCGCTCAAAGCCGCGACAGGGACGCCGGAGACCCGGAAGACGGTTGGCCGCATTCCGACGGGGTTGACGCCACTGAAGTGCAGGGTCGTACACTTGCTCGGGTTGAGGGATCGCCCGAGCGATGTTGCCAGCGTCTCAACCATGTCGATGCGTTGCTGAAAGAGGGCAGGGCAGTCGGCCAGGGGCGTCAGGTCGTCGGCATAGGCGAGGTTGTAGTGGTGGTCGCCTGTGCCTAGGACGCTTCGAACAGCGGGGTCAATAACCAGGTTAAAGAGCAACCCTCTGAGCGGGCAGCCCTGGCGTAGACACGAGCGGATGACGTCCGGTTCCGTCGTGCCCTCTGCAGCAACGATGACAATCTCGTTGTTTCGGTAAAGGTCCTCGATGAGGGCGGTGAACGTCTCTCCGGCACAGGAACCACGGAGGGCGTCCAAGAGGGCTTGGTGAGGCGCGGAGCCATAGGCGTTTGCGAAGTCCAGTAGGGCTGTGCACAACTCCGTGCCACCGGCTCTGGCTGCGTCCATGCGGTGCTGGAAGAGATAGTTCAGTTCGAAAACACCGACATAACACGAAACCTTTCCGGCACTTGGACAAGACCTGGTGATCCATGATCCAGGCTTGCAGGCGTGACGCAAGACACTTAGCGTATAGCTTGGAGGCATTACAGCCGAGTGCAATCGGTCGCCAGTTGCCCGGAATAGAGGGATCACCTTTCTTCTAGATATGGACCGTTCGCGACGTTCGCCATGAATCCGGGGTGCGACGGTGGTGAACGCAGGCGTTGAACAGGGCAGACAGGAAGCGGGCCTCCGGGTCGACGGACCTCCAGTGCTGGTAGGTCAGTCTGTCGGGACCGGGAGCCATGTTCTCCGTCTTCCGGAGCCGAGGGGAGAGCTTCGTTTGTCGAGAACGACGCCGTGTTGACCGGAAGAGGAGCCGCGGGTGGCTGTAACAGCGCTGACGTGTCTGCCGTGCGAGGTGACCAGGTGGAGGCCCAATGGTCCTTGATGTCTCGTATGGGGATGGTACAGGACCGTGTGGGACCCTGCATTATCAGGCGCACGGCACGTCGGCGGTTCCTGCGGTAGAGACGCTGGATCTCTGTCGCGTTGTCTGAGTTCACGTCTTGAGCAGGATGTCCCGGTGTTGACGAAGGGAGGCGGACAGCCTCCGCGGCTGGAGCAACAGCCCGAGACCACGCCTGCTCACACGTCGCCTATGAGTCTGGCGTCGGGGCTGAACGGGGCGTGGCTCGCAAGACGCGGACCTGCTCCGCAAGCAGGTCCGCGTCTACACAAAGAGAAGTTTATTTAACTTCGTACGAAATGTTACAGGGCATGAATATGCATTTAAAAAAATAACTAAAAACACGAGGCACATTGAATACATACAAGCGTATATTTACACAAGCAAATACAAAGGAGCGTGTTATCTATATACATATAATAAAGGAGATTTATTAAGCAGAAAGGTTGATGCTTGGAAAGCTTGGAAGGCGATGCACCAGCCGCAATTCACGAGCTCGAGCCGCTGCTGCACACTCGATGCTGCTGCCTCTGCGCCGGAGTACTTCCTCTTCTTTACAATGGCCCCACGGAGAAAAAAGGAGTCATCCTGGCGACTTAGTCCTGTGCAGGTGGGGTTGAACCGTGGTACTGCTTGAGCCTCTGGACGTGTACAACCTCGCGGTTGCGACGTCGCAAGTCTGATGGTGGTGTAAGAGGCTCAATGAGGTAGTTTACTGGCGAAGTTTGTTCGAGAATACGATATGGCCCATCGTGCTTTGGCAGAAGTTTGGAAGAGAGCCCAGGTGTGCGATGCGGCACTGACAGCCAAACAAGAGCACCCGGAAGAAAAACGGGAGTTGAGGTCTGGGCATCATGAATTGCTTTTTGCCTGTTTTGGTCATCGCAGGTAAAGCGACGAGCTAACTGGCGGCATTCTTCTGCGTGTCTGGCGGCGTCCAAGATCGGTAGGCACTCGGACGCGTCCGGTCGATAGGGCAAAATGGTGTCAATGGTGTGGGAGGGGTGACGGCCGTAGAGGAGGTAAAAAGTGGAGAAGCCTGTTGTTGCTTGCGTTGCCGTATTATAGGCGTATGTAATGAATGGGAGGACTAAGTCCCAGTTAGAGTGGTCAGGCGTCACATACATAGATAGCATGTCACCGAGAGTACGATTAAAGCGCTCGGTAGCCCCATTGGTTTGAGGGTTGTAAGCGGTACATGTGCGATGTACAATAGCACACTCAGCGAGCAATCTTTCAATGACCTCGGACAAGAAGGCGCGGCCGCGGTCACTGAGGAGTTCTTGAGGGCCTCTAAAACGCAACACAAAATGACGCAGTAGGAAAGTGGCAACCTCTTGTGCTGTAGCCGTTTGAAGAGAAGCGGTCTCAGCATAGCGCGTTAGGTGGTCGATAGCAACTATTATCCACCTGTTGCCAGTCGGAGTCAATGGAAGTGGCCCATAAATATCTATTCCAACCCGTTCGAAGGGTCGAGAAGGGCATGGTAAAGGCTGCAGTTCACCGGCGAAGGCGTGTGGTGGAGATTTTCGGCGCTGACAATCGGCACAAGAGCGAACGAAGCTGCGGACGAAGGTATACATACCACGCCAGTAGTAGCGATATCGAAGTATTTCGTAGGTCTTGAAGACTCCGGCGTGGCCACATGGTGGGTCAGCGTGGAAAGAGAAACAAATCTGCGACCTCAGGGTTCGTGGAACGACGAGCAGCCACTTGCGTCCCTCTGGTGCGTAGTTGCGTCGATAGAGAAGCGTGTCACGTATCGAGAAGTGTGGAACTTGGCGCCGAAGCGTTCGCGTCTTTGGGAGTTCAGAAGTGTGGGAGAGATGATTGAGGAGAGACGCAGTCTACGGGTCATTGCGTTGTTCATTAGCAATGGTGTCAAAGTCAAGCGATGACAATGTGGAATCGCAATCGGAGTCAGCTGTGGCATTCTGAGACAGGGAGGAACGGGAAAGGGCGTCGGCGTCAGCATGCTTCCGTCCTGACCGATAAACCACGCGTATGTCGTAATCTTGAATTTTCAACGCCCAGCGAGCGAGGCGGCCAGATGGGTCTTTTAACGTCGAAAGCCAGCACAGCGCGTGGTGGTCGGTCACGACGTCAAAAGAACGACCATATAGATATAGGTGAAACTTTCCAAGGGCCCACACAATGGCCAAGCACTCCTTTTCTCTGACGCTGTGGTTGCTCTCAGCCTTGGTAAGGTTGCGACTAGCATATGCCACGACGTATTCCTGATGCTCCGGTTTACGCTGTGCGAGCACAGCACCCAGGCCTACACCACTGGCGTCAGTGTGGATTTCAGTTGGAGCTTCAGGATCAAAATGGCGTAGAATGGGTGGCGTCGTGAGAAGCCGTCGCAAGGTGGTGAAAGCATCGTCGCAGGCCGGGGACCACGATAAGAGGTCTTTACAGCTGTTGAGAAGTTGCGTGAGAGGTGATATAATAGACGCGAAGTTTCGGACGAATCGCCGGAAATACGAACACAAGCCGATGAAACTTCGAAGTTCTTTGATGGTGGCAGGTTTAAGAAACGCCGTAACTGCTCGCAATTTCTCGGGATCCGGGAGGATGCCTTCCGTGGAAACAACGTGGCCCAAAATGTTCAGTTGACGCATGGCAAATCGTCATTTTTTGAGGTTTCATTGCAAACCGGCGTTAGTTAAGCAAGTAAGGACGTGCTGAAGGCGACGTAAGTGTGTGTAAAAGTTAGGGGCGAAGACCACGATATCATCGAGGTAACACAAGCATATCTTCCATTATAGTCCACGCAGGATGTTGTCGATCATTCGTTCGAACGTTGCAGGTGCATTGCAAAGTCCGAAGGGCATGACGGTGAATTCATATAAGCCGTCCGGTGTGACAAAAGTGGTTTTGGGGCGATCGGCCTCCGCCATAGGCACCTGCCAGTAGCCTGACCGCAAGTCTAACGAGGAAAAGAACTCGGCACCCTTCAAACTGTCCAAAGCATCGTCAATGCGCGGTAGTGGATAGACATCCTTTAGCGTGATCTTGTTCAATCGCCGGAAATCGACACAGAAACGAATAGAACCGTCTTTCTTTTTGACGAGAACCACTGGAGACGCCCATGGGCTCTGTGAAGGTCGAATGACGCCTCTGCGAAGCATGTCGTCTACTTGGTCAGCAATGACGCGGCGTTCTGTAGCGGACACGCGATATGGTCGTTGTCGCAGCGGTGAGTGGGACCCAGTGTCGATGTGGTGTTCTACTGCTAAGGCACGGCCGAGAGATGTTTGTTCAACGTCGAAAGAATGGCGGTAGCTCTCAAGAATGGTGAGGAGTTATGAACGCTGCGAAGATGTCAAATCTGCAGCGATGAATGGCTGAAATCTGTTTGCCGACGTTGAGTCAGGCGCTGAGACGACAGCCAGTTCACAGACGGAGGTAGAAGGCACCTCATCGGGGACGGATATAATTCTAGAAGAACTGATTGTCT